CCCCAAAACCCCAAAACCCCAAAACCCCAAAACCCCTTTAATTCCCAAATGATATTAAATATTAAGCATAAATATGGTAAGTTTGAACTCTAGTGGATTAGCTCAAACACTCATATTGGTTCTCCAAATCATATTTCACAAGATATCTATGGCTAAAAGAGTAGACCTCTGCTATAATATAAAGAGATGTTGCAATTCTAGTGGAGATATTAAGGAAGAGTTACGTTGCAATACAAGAGATAGACTCGGGCATCACGATTCTTCAAATTTATTAAGAGATTCATTTGATTGAAGCTAAAATTGTTTTTCGAAATCTGTTCAAAATTTCAGCAAAAATACTTTTAATTCTAAATTTTAACCAAGAATTTTCATTAATAATTTCATAAAGAAGAGGGTAAAAGTAGCCAACCAAGTAAGACCAAACAGGATGAGTAAGAACCAGGGAGCCGAGAACTCTAACGGTAAGATTTATATATATTTCTGTTGAATTGGAGATAGAAATTACCAACTCTTTTCTTATGTCACGTCATTTTCAAAAATCTTGCAAAATCATGTTGAAAATAAACGCAATGATGCTAATATTTTTGGATTTTTGGGCTTTCCTAATAAAGAGTAGGGTATGTTAGTATATCTCCCAAGCCGTTTCCACCACAAGAACTCACTAAATTCGGAAGCACAAGTGTGCAGTTGATACGGAAGAACTCCTTCCCTGCCAAAAAGAATGAAGCAACTATATCAGCTGTCAACAATTTGTCAGCAATTTTGAAGAAAAATAGCAGAAACCAACAACTAAACTTCCTAACACAAAAGTAGGTGAATTTTTATCGATGTCGATATAAATTTTAGCCCGAAAGAAATTTCAATTGAGCTCCCAAAAAAGTACGATAGTCAGATAAGGATCCAATCCTCCAGTATCAAAGCCACTTATCGAGAGGGAAAGAGGGAGAATGGGGATATTTCTGGGTATAACACTCGTTCTGGGTTCTTTCTGGGACGAACTTCCACCCTTAAATGCCCTCAACACGAGAAATCAAGGAAGAAAAAGTAACCAAATATTTAATTTTCTCTGTTTGAACAACACTAATGCTGTTTAGGATGTCCAGATTTTTCAAAAATTATCAAAAGGAAACCTCATTGCATCACATGAGGAAGATGATGAACAGATGCTACACTCCAAGTCTTGAGAAGACAAAGTCTCACAAAACTTTTGAGTAAGTTCAGGATGTAATCCTACTAGGAGTGATATTAAGAAAAAGATCTGTCTGAAAATCCCAGCTAGCTCCTATATGGACATCGACGATGAGCCATTCCATATTGGATATGGTGACGATACGTTTCCGGACAAGCTACAGGCTATCTGGAAGGTAGAGACTTCTAACTCAAAACAGCCTAAGTGTGAATGAAATAAGTAATTTTTCCTCAAAATTATAGGGTGTTTCCGAAAAACACTCCTTCGAAACAAAAGTGTTTGTATGCTAACAGACTTGAAAATGCTTTAAAAGTGAAAGAGTTTAAGTACGGATCGATCCCTTCTGGTAAGAATGGCTTTGTAATGTTATAGATGAAAATCATGCGATTTCTCGATCATCCAAAAATCTTTGAGACATTACGGCTATCAAAACTGATAAGAAAATATGGAAAGCTATATTTAAAAGCAAGAGAAGTATACGTAGAAAAATTCCAAGGAATTTACGAGGAAATGCAGTCATCCAGAAGAAGAATCAAGCCAAGTTAAACCTATCTGTTTCTACTAGAAGGAAGGAGGCAGAGATTTCTCGTAAACCTTTAATTCACAGTGGCCTGGGAGGTAGTGTTTTAGATAAATATGACGAAAGTGGAGACGCTGATTCACAAGGCGTCTACAATATTCTTTCCAAAAATCTGAGTTTAAAGGCAAGACATCTTGTGGTTAAAGCAAGCGATGAAGGTACTAATAATACCTCTAAAAACACATCAGATGAAGAAAAACCAGATAATGCAAATGTTGTGTTAGGAAAGACTTGGGAAATTTCAAGGTATTAGAACTAGTTGATCACAAAGATGCTAAACAAGAGGTGTTCACGAGATTCTTCTTATTTATACCATAAAATGATAACATTAAACTCTCTCCTTCATTTTGATGAATATTTCATTTAATTAATATTGCTGCGTACTTTCTAGAGCAACTTTTATTGATTTTCAATACCAGATATTATGGAGGGGTTTTGGGGTTTTGGGGTTTTGGGG